TGCTTTAGAACTATCAGTGTTTATAATGATTCAGTTAAACAAAAGAAAATTGGTGTGGTTGGAATATAGGTAATAATAATTTGCACTGTGAATCTTAAAACAAAAAGTAAAGAGTGTTTATACACTATGATGAAGCATTCTAGGAATAAGATATATGAATTTCTCCGTAATAAACTGAACCTCTATTTTATACCATCTATGTTAATGTGATCCAATACCGATTCTCAAGAGTTATTTCCCCTAATTCCTTAGCAAGAAACTATTAACATATAATTTTAAATCCTAACTCCTTAGTTATTCAAAATTATGTCAAGCACATATATAAATATCAAGAATTTACGGTCATCACTATTGGATCCTTATTTCTAAGAGAGATTAGTGATGTTATTATACAATTAGCGATAAAGTGATTTGTCCAACCTCCTTTACCCATAGATCAATACCATATTTTCCAATAGGGCAAGCAATAAGAAATTGTATAATACATTGAATACATAAAAACATAGATTTCATAAAAGTATAGAAATTCAGTTCATCATAAAAGCAATTCAGGGACACCCCCTAGCATTGGGGGGTTTAGCTTCTCATAATATTCAAAGAAAATACAAATTCAAAGTTAAACATTACAAGAAATGCAATTTCTCCGATCTTCAATTTCTTCCGCTCTTGATGATCTTCGTTTCCCAAACCCTTGATCGCTCTTCTCCTCTTCTCTAATTTCTCCTTTTTCTGATGCAAAAAAGTTCCTCCTTAATTCTCTAAAAAACAAGGTCTAAGTAGTGTCGGATTACCCCACAGCTATGTAGAAAGCCCGAAATACCCTTAATGAACTCAAACAAATCAATTTCAAAAACTCACTTTTCTGTCTCGCGCCTGCCAAAACAGGCCATGTCAGGTGACACGGGCACCCATGTTGGCCACTGGAATCCTTCAACAAAAGCTCGCCTATCAGACTTTCTAACACGGGTCGTGTCAGGAGACATGGGCGCCCGTGTCAGCCATTGGAATCCTCTTTTATCTAATTAAGTATCATCATTTATGACACGGGCCGTGTCAGGTAACACGGGCACCCGTGTCAGCCACTGGACTTCTGGAGAAAATGCTTCAGAACTTGTCAATTTCGCCTCTATTCTTGTGCAATTTCACCAGGACCTGAAAATACAAAAACCACCAGACCAAGACTTCAAAAGTATCTTATTTATCCAAAATTCAAACTAAACTAATGCAAACAAACAAAATGTGAAAAATTTAAATACATGACGAAAACAGTAAAAAAACTAAGCAAGGTGTTACCAATGATGCGGTTTCTTGCCGGATAATAGATATAAAACAAGAAAGAATGGTGACCGATCAGCGCCATTTGACTTGGCGAATGAGTACAAAGTTGAAAGGTGTCGCCATATCAATTGGCAAATTAGTGGTGGCTTACTTTTGTATTGTTCAAATTCAAAGAAGCCTATTTAATCCTACACGTATCTAAAGGCCTCTACACTCAACCACTCAAACACTCAAACATTCAAACAATCAGACACTTAAACACTCAAACACTCAAACACTCAAACCTTAAAACATTCAAACACAATGACCTCTACACCACAATATGTTATCAGTGCATATTTCAACAGTGAGACATACATTTGTCCCACCTTTGGGTTTTTCTTTAGAGACACTGAGAATATCCGATTTTGTTTAAACAGGAAAGCCAATTTTTTGTATTTTAAAAAACGATTGGAGGTCAAAGTTGGACGAGGCCCTATGACACAAATCTTCTATCAAAACCCATTTTTTGTGAGAACCAAATAATATATTATAAGGTAGAGGTTCAAGATGACGAGGACCTTCAGAATATGTTTTCCAGTCTTGAGTATTCTGGGTACGACTCGATTGAGTTGTACATTGTGCTGCAGGAGTCTCATCTGTCATGACCAACCCAGTCACAAGTGGTTGATCCTCTCGAAGACGAACAAGCAGAAGTAGATGTCGTTGACGAAGAAGAGGAACATGACGAGTTAGAGTTTGATGACATGGTCAACGATGATTCTGAAGATGATGAGATACTTGGAATACCTCCGAATGAGATCTACACACCACCTCTACACATGACAAACTTCAACATGGGCAGAGATGAACCGTCATCTAATGTTTTTTTCAATCCGTATATGCAGTCAGATGAAAATTTAAAAGAGAAAGACATATTTCATAATAGAGAAGATTGTATCTGAGCCATAAAAAAGTTTCACATGCTTAACTCTGTCGATTTTAATGTAGATCGGGTAAATCCAGAAAGGTACAAGCTCAGGTGTGTTCACCCAGATTATATGTTAAGACTCACTACATCATACAGGTTAAAAGGTGATTGTTGGGTATATATCCACCCACACGTGCGTCAATTCTACTCAATCACATGATCATCATAAACTAAATTATGATCTCATATGTCAAGAAATCCTACCTCTCATCAGCAATGATATGTCATTGAAGGTGAAAACCATAATCTCTCACATCACTATGGTATACAACTATACTCCGTCATACCAAAAGGCGTGGTTAGTAAAGACCAAGGCAATTGAAAAGGTATATGGAAACTGGGAAGAGTCATATAAAGAACTTCTACGCTACCTGCATGCACTTTAGACGTATTCTGCAAGAACTGTTTATATTATGGAAACATTGTCGGCGTATGCCCCAGATGGTACTCATGTCACTGGAAATTGAATATTCAGTCGACAATTATGGGCTTCTCAACCTTGCATCACAGGGTTTTCGTCATGCAAACCTATTATTCAAATTGATAGAACATGGTTGTACGGGAAATACAAAGGCACACTACTGATGGCAGTTGCACAAGATGGAAACAACAATATTTTCCTAATTTCCTTTTCTCTAGTCGAGGGAGAGACTGTGGTTCTTGGAGTTTCTTTCTCAGGCATCTCCAAACACACGTGGCTCCTTAACCTGATCTCTGTTTGATCTCTGACAGACATGCATCTATTGAGAGTGCATACAATAATCCTGCAAATGGTTGGCATGACCCTCCTTCTACGCATGTCTACTGCATCAGACATATGTATAAAATATCACGAGGGAGATCAAAGACAAGGATCTTAGGAAAACAGTTATAAACGCGGGGTATGCATTAACACAACCTTCATTCAAACACTATCGCAACGAGATCAGATTGTCAAGTCCGGACGCAAATAGGTGGATCAATAATATTCCCGTGGAGAAATGGATAAGGTCATACGACAATGGATAACGATGGGCCACATGACAATAAATCTTATCAAATCCATGAACGGTGTATTCAAAGGCATACGAAACCTCTCAGTAACCGTTTTGGTCAAATCAACATATTTTAGGATGACTTCGTTGTTTGCCAAAAGAGGTGAAATATGGAATGCGGTCTTACAATCAGGACAACTATGGAGTGAAAGCTGTATGAAGTATATTAAGGAAGAAAGTGCCAAAGCCAACACCCATCTGGTTATAAGGTTTGACCGACACAGCCACAACTTCATTGTCAAAGAGACAATCGACCATAATGAGGAGCTGCCAAGACAAGAGTATAGGGTTATACTACTATCTCGTTGGTGCGATTGTGACAAGTTTCAAGCCTTTCGTATTCCTTGCTCTCATGTCATTGCGGCATGTGCGTATACTCATCAAGACGCATTACAACTTCTATCTCCCTCCCATTTACAAGTCTGAAACCTTGCTCGACGTATATAACAATGGCTTCCCATTGGTAGAGAAACCTGATTATTGGCCTGCATATGACGGGTAAATAGTATGGCACAATGATCAAATGCTAAGGAATAAAAAGGGTCGTCCTAAAAGCAAGCGTATCACAAATGAAATGGACTCCCTTGACAAGCTAGAAAGAAAGTGTGGTTTATGTCGTCAGGTCGGACACAATTAAAAAAATTGTGTCACTCGGGCTACAAGCCTGACAACGTAAAAATTATATGCAAACCATCTAAACTTTTTTAAGTTCTAAACATTACTGTTTTTCATTAAGAGCATTTGTTACAAGAAACCATACGCAAACAACAAATAAAAATACGATAAAACATCTAAGAAATTACAACCGTCAAAACAATTTCATTTGAGCCATGCATCATCACCATTATGTCTCCGTCTGTTCTAACTTCCTCCAACCAAAAATTAGGTCTTTCAGTTGCAAGTGAGGTGACTGTTCTTCTTCTCTGGATCCTTCTACATTGTTCCCCAGCCTCGATGTCTCCCTCTAGCCATCACATTAATTTTTTCTTCAGACGCTCCATGGAGTGAATGTGCCAAAATTTCATTTTCATCGGAGGTTTGGTGGCCGAGAAAATAACGTTTTCATCTTTGGTGAAAATCATGGGAGATGCAATGACGCAAATAACAGAGAAAAAATAAGAAGACAATGCGAGAAATTGTGAAGAATGATGGAGAAATGAGTGATTTATTTATAGAAAACACAATTGCACGTAGTAGTCAAGTGAGATGGCGCCTCCTATCCTTTTTATAGTGCATGCGCCATCTCACTTAGCTAAAACAAAGTGCATGCACCAAGTGAGATGGCGCCTAGGGCAAAAAAGTGACTGCATGCGCCATCTCACTTGGCTCATTTATTATGAGATTTTCTGAAACATGATTATTTGTATAATTTTCTCCAAAACACATTTATTTGTGTATTTTTTTTTCAATACTTAATTATTACTAAAAAAAAAAATCATGTTTCGACTGAACCATTTTGAGCATTAAAAATTTAGCAAAACATTAAGTGATAACATCGGACACAAGGTGTATGAAACACAAAACAAAAACAAATAAGATCCAAAACAATAAAGAATAAAAAATAAAAACGGAAAGAAATATGAGGCATTGATAGTGGGAATGTGGTATACACACGTGTGAAGAATGAAAGTGTGTGTGGAATCTTATAACGCACAAGTTGCGAATAAGCACTATAAATTGTGGAACAACATGACTCAAAATTAAAGAGGACGACAAGAATGGATAATAATAATAATATTTCATTTCCCAAAGACGATGCTGAGAATTGTAGCAGTGTTGATTGGAGAGGCAGACCCTCGAATCCTAAATATCACGGTGGAGCTAGAGCTGCTGCTTTTGTTCTTGGTGTGTCCTTTTTTCTTTCATTTTGAATCTGCTAACTTATATTTTATTTATTACAATCATATTGATATATCTTTTCTCAGGTCTTCAAGCTTTTGAAATAATGGCCATAGCTGGTGTTGGAAACAACCTCATCACCTATCTGATTAACGAGATGCACTTCTCTTTACCTCATTCAGCTAACATTGTCACTAACTTTGTTGGTACTATTTTTCTTGTGGCACTCCTCGGTGGCTTTCTATCTGACTCTTTTCTTGGCACCTTTTCCACCATCCTTATCTTTGCCCTTATAGAACTTTGTGTAAGTATACTAGTAGCAATTATTGATTTCCAGTTTATTATTTTTGCTTAAATATTAATTGTGCATGGCTATGCATATGCCCAGGGGTTTATATTGCTATCAGCACAAGCTCATTTTCGTCAACTTAAACCTCCGGCGTGTAATGAAAATTGGGTATGCACAGAAGCAAAGGGGTTCAAGAGCTTGATATTCTACACAGCAATATATATGGTGGCATTAGGAAGTGGTTGTGTTAAGCCAAGCATGATTTCTCATGGAGCAAACCAATTCAATCCTGAATCAAAGAAGCTCTCGACTTACTTCAATGCAATCTATTTTGCATTCTCATTGGGTGAGCTTATTGCCCTTACACTTGTTGTATGGGTTCAAACTCATTCCGGTATGGACGCCGGCTTTGCTGTATCAGCCGCCGTCATGGCAATGGGTTTCATATTCTTCATATCTGGAACTCTATATTATAGGAACAAACCTCCACAACCAACCGTCTTCCTCCCTATTCTACAAGTATGTATCTAGTTTATCATGCCTGTTATGATTATCATTCCATGTATCTAGTTTATCATGCCTGTTATGATTATCATTCCATGTATCTAGTTTATCATGCCTGTTATGATTATCATTCCATGTATCTAGTTTATCATGCCTGTTATGATTAAATGCACCTTTGTATGATATATGAATAGGTTTTTGTGGCTGCGATATTGAAAAGAAACAAGAATTGTCCATCTACCCAACAAGGAATTGGTGGACAACATAGTAAAAAGTTGAGATTCTTGGAGAAGGCTTGTATACAACAAGAACGGAACAACACAAAGGAAAGTGATTGGAGATTGTGCAGTGTTGAACAAGTTGAACAAGCAAAAATATTAGTTTCTGTTATTCCGATTTTCGCATGCACTATCATTTTCAACACCGTGTTAGCACAACTTCAAACATTCTCGGTCCAGCAAGGAAGTGCCATGGACACACATATCACAGAATCATTTCGTATCCCTCCAGCATCCCTTCAGGCCATTCCATATGTTTTGCTCATTTTTATAGTCCCTCTCTATGATACTTTATTTGTCCCTTTTGCAAGAAAAATAACAGGTCATGAGTCAGGAATCACACCTTTGCAGAGAATAGGAGTTGGCTTGTTTCTGGTTACATTTTCTATGGTATCAGCAGCTATTATGGAGAAAAAGAGAAGGGATGCAGCTTTGAATATGAAGCAAACATTGTCAATATTTTGGATTGCACCACAGTTCATTATATTTGGTATGTCAGAGATGTTCACTGCAGTTGGACTGGTTGAGTTCTTCTACACACAGAAGTTGAAAGGGATGCAGACATTCCTGACTTCCATCACATATTGCTCCTACTCATTTGGATTTTATCTCAGCTCACTATTGGTTTCATTGGTGAATAAAGCTAGTGGTGGTGTGGGTGGCGGCTGGCTTCATGACAACAATATCAACAAAGACAAACTTGATCTTTTCTATTGGTTACTAGCTGCACTCAGTTTCCTCAACTTCCTCAACTATCTCTTTTGGTCAACATGGTATTCTAATGATCCATCTCTTTCAACTATATCCCAGGAGACTCACCCTCAATCCACCACCCAATCTAGACACCTCAACCACGCAGATAATACTAGTATTCCATAGCCTACACTTCCCTTATGTTTGAAATTAAATACGACCATCATATGTGTAAAAATACACGTAATAAATAAATAAAACATAATCATATGTATGCAGTAAAGATACACGTGACTTGTTTTATTTTATATAGGTATCCAAGGAGGAAATAGGACATGGATCATTACTTTTCTATGTATCAAATTCAAAGTAAACATGTGTAATTGACACAACAGTGCTTTCGCACTTTTACTTTCAGAGGATATCCAACTAATATGATGCGATGCTTGTGCGTATGAAACATTATGAAAGCTTTGTCTTAAAAGTCAATTACACATGATTTCTTTTGGGTCACCACATGATTTCTTTTTACATCATTAAGTTTTCACCTTTAAAAATCTACTACTGCACTTCAATTCAATCTCAATCTCAATCATGCACCTTTGTATTGATGAGACACGTCTCAAACATGTTTTACTGTTGAACCCTGGCCCCTCCTTGCAAAACCATTTGAAACTCTCATTCTCATCCTAAGACAATGTCAATAGATAGGTGCACAAAAATGTTGGGTAAAAGATTAACATAATCCCCACTTACTCCCAACCAAAACAGAGAAAAGTTAGTGCCATTGAGCCCACTTTGCTCTTCAACCTATCATTTTTACATCCACTATCACCACATTTACTCACCAATTTTTTATTCCGGACCCCTCTTGCTTCTTTATCCATTTTTTCTTCGTTTGACATTTCATATGTTATCATGATACCACAACATTATTTTATTATTACTTTTTCTAATGCAACAACAAGTAAATAATGTCAAATTTTTTTTATTAGACTCTTTTTACATAAGGACGTCTCAATAATGTCAAATCAAATTTTATTTTTGCCCAACAACAATTGAAGAATGTCTCATTTATTTTACTCCACTCTTTTTTTCTTTCTCATAAGAACATGTGAATAATGACAAATCCTTTTTACTCGACGAATGAATAATATCATCTATTTTACTCCATACTATTTTGTGCATAAAGACGAATGAACAATGTCATTTCTATTTTACTCCACTCTTTTTTTTCTAACGTAAAGACGAGTGAAGAATGTTTTTGTCTATTTTAATCCGCTTCTTTTTATGCCTAAACATAAGTGAACAATGTTGGATGTTACATACAAGTTAAATACTATATGAAAGTGTTAGTTTAATGGCAGAAAATAACATATATAGTGGCAGAGAAGTAAAGAAACAGTATATTAAAGGAAATGAATTGTATATTTGATCGATAGAAATGTTACAATAAATAATGGAAAGAAAAAACTGAAAGTTATCCCACGTAACCAGAATTTTAGGGAATTGAATAATTAAACTAATTTGTTCCTAAAGTATAACAACTACTACTAGCTTGCTCCTAAATTATAGCAACCACTAATTGACTAGGTTGCTAAAAAACTGAAACAATAAAATAAAATAGTAAAAAATCTAGCAGTTACAAAAGCACATGATTAATACTCCTCCTTGCTTTAGGAACTGCAAACTCCAATCAGTTGCCTTAGATATTCAAATTTGCTGATAGGTAATGGCTTTGTAAATATGTCAGCCAATTGATCTTCAGACTTGCAGTAAACTAAGTTTACTTCTTCACTTTGCTGCATCTCTCTCAAAAAATAGAGCTTGATTTTGAAATGTTTAGTCTTCACGTGACATACTGGATTGTTTGCAATAGCAATTGCAGCCTGGTTGTCAATAAAAATTTATGTTTTGTTCTTCTGCTGCAAAGATAAATCACATAAAATCTTCTTCAACCATAAAGCTTGATTTACAGCGGCTGTTGCTGCTATAAATTCAGCCTCAGCGGTGGACTGTGCTACAATCTCTTGCTTCTTTGTGCACCATGAGAATACTCCTGAGCCTAGGCTGAAACAGTATCCTGAAGTTCTCTTCATATCATCAATGGATCCAGCCCAATCACTATCAGAGAATCCATACAACTTGAATTCTTGACACTTATCAAATTTGACTCCATAATCAATAGTGCCTTTAACATATCTCAATATTCTTTTTGCTGCTTGCAAATGAATTTCACTTGGACAGTGCATAAAACGAGACAAGAGACTTACCGCAAATAGAATGTCCGTCCTTGTTGCAGTGAGATACATTAGACATCCAATCAAGCTTCTGTAATATCCTTCATCAATTTTTTCAGCACCATCATCCTTGCTAAACTTCTCCTTTTGATTCATTGGTGTGTTAACAGATTTACATTCCTCCATTTGAATTTTTTTCAAAATTTCCTTTGCATATTTTCTTTGACAAATTAACACTTCATTCTCTGAAATTCTGGCAGCAGATACTCAATGTCACAGTGAATGTTATGACACCGTATCTGACTTTTTATAAGACAGTAAATAAAAAAACAGTAAAGAACACAATCAATTGTTTACCCAGTTCAGTGTGAAACAACACCTACTATGGGGGCTACCAAGCCAGGGAGGAAATCCACTATAAGAGATATTAATTCAGGAATAAACCAACCAGTTTATCTCCTTCACTTAAGACCTACCCAATGCAACTTCAATCTAAGTTCAACTTAAACCCGAGTTCCTACTCACCCCCCCTCAATCACAGCAGTGATACTAAACAATTGACTAATGAATTAATGAAGACACTCTTTAGAACATACACTTGATAATGCTTCACAGCTTTCAATTAAGTAACACAACCAGTCGTGCTTCAAAGCTTTGAGTGATACATAAACCTAACTTGACCTTGCTTCAAAGCTTTAGTCAAGTGACACAAACACTCTTGCTTTAAAGCTTTGAGTGATACACAACTCTTACAATCAAAACCTACTCCAAGTCACTTATCACAATGATACTTGCTTGAATTACAGCAGTTAAAACTATACAGCCCCTAATTGATCTTCTGTCAAAAAGTTAATTTCCAATCAGCTTTCCTATTGAATATATATGCAGTTGTTTCTTCAGTTAGGGCTTCCACGAAAAGCTAGGGTTAATTAGGGTTAACCTTAAGACTTGGTCACAAGACTTTATCAACCAGTATTAGGGTTGAGCTCAGTTAACCTAAAGTCCACGTGAGATTCTATTCTGGAATGTATGAACCAAATTCCCGAAAAATCTCATAATTAACCAAACTGCATAAATGTTAGATCAGTACAGGATGTCTTAACATTTGTTATGACATCAGAAATCCTGTTTACTGATTTTGGTAGAAAGTAATAAATGTGATAATTGCAAAATGCTCAGATACACACTCATAAATAACAGCTTCTGTATGCCATTCTTTTTCTGCATAAAGTACCTAATAACCCAGAATGTTATGACATCAGTCATGACATTCACACACCTGGTTTTACCAAAAATACATGCCAATAACTAAACACTTACAAACTCCCCCTTTGGCAAATTTTTGGCTAAAACCCCTAAGCAATTAGAGAATAGAGAGCAGCAGAATGAATATGTCTGCAGAAAAAATAATGTCTACCAAGTAATTAACACAAAATATCTCCCCCTCTTTAGCCACAAATAGGCCAAAGATACATGTACTTATATGTTATACAGTCATCCAAAAAGTAATGAAAAACAAAAAAAAAATCTGAAATCACTTCCAGCAACAGGTACCAGCAACAAGCTTGACAACTCCACCAAACTTCAAGCACTGTCATCTTCAGAGGAGGCACTTTCTTCAGCATTAAGCTGATCTTCAGCAGCATCCTCTTCCCTTCTTTGTCCGTTAGTCTCCTCCTGTTCTAATCTGACAATTAGGTTCTCAAGAGTCCTTTTCCTTGTCTCCAGCTCTTTGCAGGTTTCTTTCAGCACAGCTATAACATTAGATGTCTTGGACTGGGTTTTGACAGATGATGTCTCAGCTGATGTCATGACAATGTCAGGAACATGAGTTCCCTGAAATAGCTTATAGTGCAACCCAAAAGCAGGGGCTCTTTTGCATACAGTATCTCTTTCCACTAGGATGTCAGGATACTGAACAAGGACAATACCACATAGGAGGGAGGGAAAGGCAATAGGGTCTTTAACAGCATAGCTTCCAGCATGTTTTAAAGTTTGATCAAAGATATACCTGCCATAGTCAAATTCTGTCCTGGTTCCAACAGCATAAATGAATCTTCCCAATCCTGTGGAGATGGTTGATTTATGGTTGGTAGGAACCCAGTTGGCTGCACCAATCTTGTGCAGGATGGAAAATTTCATGCTTAGCTTGCTTGCATTCAGCTTGCCTTTTAAGGGTCAGCTCCTTACTTGATTTGCTGTGATGGTTTGGCATACTTGGTTGTCAGTAACCTCTAGTTCAGGGCAAGCCTCATCTGGTCTTCCAAGGAATTTGTTAATTTCAGAGGGAGAGAAATTAACCTTTCTTCCTCTCACATAGACACATTTAAAGTCAGTTGACCTTCCATCAGCACATTCATCAGACAAATTCACTATGAATTCCTTGACAAGATTTTCATAGCATTTGGTAAACTTTACCACAGTATTCATTAGTCCAACAGTTTTGATTAGGTCCATGATCTCCTTACAATCCATGGCACCATTGTTCAGTTCTCTTTCCAAGGCTATTCTTTTCAAGCAAACATACTTCCATCTGTTGGCATTTTCAGGGTGGTGAAATGAAATGTTGTCAGTGGGGACTTCAGGAACTTTAGCCATTTTGCTTGAAGGGAGTTTCCTTCTGAGAGGAATGTCTTCAGCATCAATTTCAAATTCTGATTCCTCATCAGAATCAGAAGGTTCGGGCTCTTTCCTTTTCTTTGCTATTGGTTGTCTCACAGGCTTTGAGAGACTCTCAGCATGTACTCGGGTTTTCACCTTCCCTTTGGACAGTCCAGTCTTCATAGTTTCTACACCAATCTTGCCTTCAGACCTGGTTTTCTTGTGAGCAACATCAACAGTCTTCTCTTTGGTCAGACATTTTGCAGCATCCTGTTTGCCTTTTCTGTTCATCATTCTCCTAGCTATGCTAGGGTTGATATTTGCAATTAGGTCATTGTCAGAGTA